ACATTTGGACACGACTGTCGGAATACACGGATTTCTCAGTGTTGTCGTGCACCATGGAAGAGAAGCTGATTCTCGTGGTGTCCGAAATAAAGTGTCTTTATTCTCTATGCGTTCACTATGATTGAATGAATACAAGAAACTCATAGACCTCTAAAACGTTTGGAGAGAATGTGGAGACTCATTTATGAATATTAATGTTTTTTTTAATATGGACTTTTTAAAATAAAAAATACCAAAAAAAAAAACTACTATTTGTCAGCCTTGTAAAACTGGAATACATCAGTCAGATCCAGTCAGCCGGTCGCATACGCTCTAGTCGCAGGTGTTCAAGTATTTTAACGTATCCACAGCTCAAATCGAATCTGAATTTTTAGCATACGGAAATGATCGAAACTCCACGCAGCTCCCGGACTACTCTCCATTGGAAATGAATGACTTCCGGTCTGTCGCTTGTCGTATGCCGTGGAAAGGCAGCTTAAGGGGCTGTATGTGTTCATATGTCGCTTTTTTTTGTATATAATTGCAGACGTTACAGTAGACGTTACATTATGTTCATAGAAAGGTTATTAATGAACATTTATAAACAAGTATTTTTGTGTATAAAGCAAGCTTTACTGTAGACATTTATTCGAGCGAGAATGACGTCGACTGAAACTTTCTGTCGTACACCACGCCCACCAAAAGAGTAACATTGGTACCCTTTTGGCACTGGAAGTAGAAGCCTGACCTGTACCAACCCGTACCGTACTGTAACTCTCAGTGGAACAGGCCATTAGTGGTTCAAAGTCGGTCAGCCCTCAGGGGCCACTTCTGGCCTGGGTCTCCAAGGTTTTGCCTGTTGGCAAGTGGCTCCTCTGTATATGTGACCTAGTGCATGGGTGTCTCTCAGCTGTTAAACATTAAATATGTTTGATTGTTTAAAAAGGATACTCACTAAGGTTCACAGCTAAACACAGCTAACATGCTTTTTTGTGGTGAGAGGCACCTTTTAATAAAATGGCTTTCTATTGACAGTGTTTTGCAGGCTGCTTATGCACCTTGTTTTTTCTGCAGTTGTAAAAAGTAAACTCTGCGTGGAAAAGCATCTGATGCCATACACTCCAGCGCCAAGACGCTTGATGCAGTTGTAGCCTAGCAACAGAAAAAGCGCAGCACACCGCACTTTAATAAAGTCAACAAAAAGGCAGTCTGCCGCACCTTCTGTTTTCAGGGTGTTTGACGTGATCGCACTTTAATACAGACGTTTTAGCACACAAACTTGTATTGAACAGGCTGAGCTTCACGGTCAGGTCTCTGTCATGTTTATGCCTCCATATGTTCCTCCAGGAACAGGATTGAGGAAGATTGCATTACGTAAATATTCTCCATTCTATTCTATTCCGTATCTCATGGTTCATAAGATGTATCAGCCGCCCTGTTCACATATTCTGTAATCTTTTTCTTGGTCCTCAGTGTAGACCCTTCTTTCCACTGTGGCTCCCTCTCTTCTAACATCCTCTTCTTTTTACAGAATCTGTAGTTACATGGCAAACGCCATAGAGTTTTGCTGCAGATCTTATAAACTTTCCCAGATCTTTTACATAGGGATGCACTGAAACCATTTTTTTTTGGATCCGATCCCGATACCCAAATTCTGAGTATGGATCGATACAGATCCTCATACTGTGCCAATTTTTAATTTTTTCATTTATTTTTACCTAATACGGTTTCTATAGTTCTGGTGCTTAAAAAAATATTTATACAGACCTATAGGCCTACTTTGATAGATGGCACAATCTAAGTACTAACATGATGCTTGCTATAAACTATAGGCTACATTGTTTGAGCATTCGTTCTCTGATCTGTTGTGGTCAAGCTTATGTTTCCTTTTTAATATTAGGACTTTCCTTTGAAATCTGTACTTGGCTTCCACTATTGACCCTAATCGTTGGTAAAATAACCTGCCTTTTAGCAAAGCGTGATATTTTTTCTGCAGGTTTGAAGCAGACTAAACTATATCTTTTAACATTAATTTATCTTTTTGAAACTAATTTCGTTTGGTAAAAATTGTTGGTTATTTTAATGTATTTTTTGTTGGTCAGTTATGCACAAAATAAACAAGAATATTTGAGGTGAAGTTCAAAATAGAGGTCTGCATTCAGTCGCGGGACCCGACCAGATTTCTGCAGCGCGGGAATAAATTTCCGAATAAACCCCGGGAGCGGTCGGTAACAGGTTTAATTTGGGATGGGAGCGGGCAGTCTAGCAATATCACTCCCGAGCGAGCGAGCACGCAAATGTAACATTATGTGTGTGACTGAAACAGCGCAATGCTGTGTTTAGCTTGTTTGTTTGTTGCTGTGTGTGTGTGTGTGTTAGAGCTGCACAATTAATCATTAAAAGATTGCGATCTGGATTCGACCCCCTAGACGATCTTAATCCAGCATTTCTACGATTCTGCCAATCATATTTTAAGTTCAGGAGAGAAGCAAAGGCAGCTGGACGAGTTATTTCATTGTTTCACATACGTTGCTCAGTGGCATGGACACCTCCAAATGATGTTGAATGAGTCACATAATGTATTTATAAGGTATATTTCACCTAAAAATGTCATTTTTGTCTACATATAACGATGCTTTCACGGCCGGGAAATCACACGTGAAGTGAGCTGCTGACCGTGAGCTGTTATCACAGATGCGCGCGCGTCTATTTTAGTGAACAGAACCTGCATATGTTGCGAGTAACAGGTAATACAGTTGTAAGTAATATTCAACTTGTGGCACAGCATAATCGTTTGGGAGCCTCGCGCCAAGCACTTAGCAGTCAAAATGAAACCGAAAGTGTGCACTTCATTTAAACGAACATATCATATTTTAGAGTTATGATTACGACAAGCATTTTAAATGTTTTTTCTGTCATAGCGAACACACAGTTGTGCATGAAAATAAATGTTTACAGTGTCAGTATAACTACTCTAGCCTATATATTGTTGAATATAATCTGATAATGGCAAATGTCTGATTTTACCAGCGAATAAAATTGTCTAATATGACAGATTGCAAGCATATATCTCAAACATAATAATTCAACATCAGAATTATTATAAGTAGAATAGAATTATTTATAAAAACCAGTAGACCTACACATAATATTATTATCGATGTTGTGCCATATCTTTGTTTTTACCATACCTTTATTTTACAAATACAGAATCGTGAGAAAATCGTGATCTTAATTTTGAGCAAAATTTGAGCGCGATTCTCATTTTAGCCAGAATCGTGCAGCTCTATAGTGTGTGTGTGTGCGCGCACGCGAATGAGAGAGAGAGAGAAAAGAGAGAAAGCTTTGTGTGTGTGTGTGCTTGGTGCTTGTGTGTGTGTGTTTATACAGACAGCTTGTTATAGGCTGTCTGGACTCTGTATAGCTGGGTGGATTTCGATTTTGTTCTCCCCCTGCTCTTTAGCGGGATCGGGCGCGGTTTAAACGGATCCCTAATCCGGGATCGGGCGGGTAGAAAACGGGGCAGGTCGGGCAGCGGGCAACAAATGCTGAATATAAGCGGGAGCGGGGTTCGGGCTAAAACCTGGCGGGAGCGGGATTCAAAATTTAGTCCCGCGCATATCTCTAGTTCAAAACAAGGTCCGCTAAAATGCTTCAGCGCACAAACTGACAAAAAAGGTCTGTTAAAGAAAATATTAATAATATATATAAAATTACAGTGAAATATTTACTGTTTCAGAGTAGACTATATTAGGCTAAATCATTTTCTGTTAATGACAATTCATATGCGCCGGGCCATCAGCTTCACTTTTATTCATTTAATCTAATACTTTGACCACAATGAGCCAGGCTTTACAAACTTTTAGCAGCACTTAACGTGTTCACCTCTAAAGAATAAACTCAGTCGGAAGGAAGAGAGAACATAAACTCTTTATGAGAATTATTTTACGGAACGGTGCACGTAGGTAGGCCTACTTTGTGTGTGAAGAGGAGGTAATAACCCAGTGTTGCGAATGCGATCTGCTGGTCTAACATACACAGCGCAACATGATGTAGAAACAGCAATAAACTCCATGTTACGGGTCAAAATGAACCCATTTAATTCAGAGCTAAATTTATTTCTCCACTGATTATTAAAACTAACAGGAAGACATAGTTTTTCATGTTGTTATGAACGCAACACACAGTTTGAATTGTGAATGAATGGAGAATTACTGACAGGCGAAGCACAAATTCTGAACATTAATTTAACTAGGTGAATATTTATCTGTGCTTCACATTAAGTTATAGAATGGCTTCAGAACATTTGGGATATGGTAGGCCTACATGACACATTTCCAGTGCCTGGTAATAGGCTACCTTTGTGGGTTTTGTTCGCTTACAAATTACAAAGAATATAGCGCACATGCAAGATCGGATTTGGATCAGTGCCAGCGGGCCGATACTCGATCCAGCAAAAATATGCGGTATTGAACCGATATCCGATCCAAGTATCGGGGTCGGTGCATCCCTACTTTTACATAGGGACTACAAAGAGTCAGGACCTCAGTTTAACATCTCAACCAAAAGACGGTGCTTACTGGCATCATCTCTCAGTATTGTTCGCATCACTATACTGGGGCATTAGGACCCACACAGGTTGAGCACCCCCCTGTTGAACAAAAACTTTTAACAACAACCACGTTTTCCCATGCAGTCTCCCAACCAGCTACTGACCAGTCTTAGCCCTGGTTAGTTTCTTGAAGTGACCAGTCTTGAGCTGCAGGGTGATTATGGCTTTGGTACAAGTGTAGTAACAGATTAACATATGGCTAACCATAGTTTTACAACAAATATTATGGTTAGTGTTTTAAAAACCACAGTTAATTTGTGATTACCATGGATTTACTACAAAAAAAAGGATTTGTTTTATTCATTTGCAGTAAACTCTTTGCTTGGTGCTAGATATCTAGCATGCATGTTTTGGGTTTTGATGCCTTAGGTGGTTTTCATTTTGCTGCTTGTGCCATTTATTGCTTCAGGGCTGAAGGAAGAATCTCAAGAGCTGGATGAAATCAAAGAGAAAGATCAATGTGAGAAACAGCATGAGTTAAAGATGGAAGAAAAATCCACACAAAACCTTGCAGTCCACATGAATTCCCACAATGGAGAGAAGCCGTACAGCTGCCAACAGTGTGGGAAGTCTTTCAGTTTTAAAAAAAGCCTTAAAGTCCACATGAATGTCCACACTGGAGAGAAGCCTCACGCCTGCCTACAATGTGGCAATAGTTTTAGTCAAAAGCGAAGTCTTGATATCCACATGACAATTCACACTGGAGAGAAACCGTTCACCTGCCAACAGTGTGGAAAAGGTTTTGCTCAAAAACAAAAACTTGCTGTTCACATGAGAGTTCACACTGGGGAGAAACCTTTCATATGTTTACAGTGTGGAATGAGCTTCAGTCAAAAACGAAGTCTTGACACCCACATGAGAATCCACACCGGAGAAAAGCCTTTCACCTGCCAACAGTGCGGAAAGAGTTTCAGTCGAAAAGGAACTCTTGATATCCACATGAGCATCCACACTGGAGAGAAACCATTCGTCTGTGAACACTGTGGAAAGAGTTTCATTAAACCAGAAGGCCTTAAAGCCCACATGAGCGTTCACACTGGAGAGAAACCCTACCCATGCTTACAGTGCGAAAAGAGTTTCACTCAAAAACGAAGCCTTGATACCCACATGAATGTCCACACTGGAAGGAAGCCATACACCTGCCAACATTGTGGAAAGAGTTTCACGCAAAAACGAAGTCTTAATTTCCACATGAAAAGGGTTTTAAATAAACACTAACCATTTTTACAGTTGTATAGAAAGAGTTTTGGAGGTCCCAATGAGCACAGTGAAGTCCAATAACCAATAATTAAAAGTTTGGGACCACTTTGTTAAGGGGGATGCCTGGCCAAACTGAGCAATTGTGGAAGAAGGGTCTTAGTCAGGGAGGAGAGCGATAACCTGATGGCCAGTGTTTCTCTGATGAGAGAGGAAAATCTTCCAGAAGGTCAACCAATCTTTGCAGCTCTGAACCAATCAATCAAGCATCCTCTTCCGCTTCCATCAATAGATAAAACTTTGGGACCACTTTGTTGAGAGAGATATCTGGCCAAACTGAGCAATTTTGGAAGAAGAGTCGTAATCAGGGAGGAGAACGATAACCTGATGGCCAGTGTTTCTCTGATGACAGAGGAAAATCTTCCAGAAGGTCAACCAATCTTTGCAGCTCTGAACCAATCAATCAAGCATCCTCTTCAGCTTCCATCAATAGATAAAAGTTTGGGACCACCTTGTTGAGAGAGATACCTGGCCAAACTGAGCAATTTTGGAAGAAGGGTCTTAGTCAGGGAGGAGACCAATAACCTGATGGCCAGTGTTTCTCTGATGACAGAGGAAAATCTTCCAGAAGGTCAACCAATCTTTGCAGCTCTGAACCAATCAATCAAGCATCCTCTTCAGCTTCCATCAATAGATAAAAGTTTGGGACCACCTTGTTGAGAGAGATACCTGGCCAAACTGAGCAATTTTGGAAGAAGGGTCTTAGTCAGGGAGGAGAACGATAACCTGATGGCCAGTGTTTCTCTGATGACAGAGGAAAATCTTCCAGAAGGTCAACCAATCTTTGCAGCTCTGAACCAATCAATCAAGCATCCTCTTCAGCTTCCATCAATAGATAAAAGTTTGGGACCACCTTGTTGAGAGAGATACCTGGCCAAACTGAGCAATTTTGGAAGAAGGGTCTTAGTCAGGGAGGAGACCAATAACCTGATGGCCAGTGTTTCTCTGATGACAGAGGAAAATCTTCCAGAAGGTCAACCAATCTTTGCAGCTCTGAACCAATCAATCAAGCATCCTCTTCAGCTTCCATCAATAGATAAAAGTTTGGGACCACCTTGTTGAGAGAGATACCTGGCCAAACTGAGCAATTTTGTTAGAAGGGTCTTAGTCAGGGAGGAGAAGAGTAACCTGATTGACAGTGTTTATCTGATGACAGAGGAAATTTTTCCAGAAGGTCAACCATCTTTGCAGCTCCAAACTTACCAAGCCTGGTAGAGTGACTAGTTAGAGCCACTCTTCAGCTTCCATCAATGGAGAAAAGTTTGAGACCACTTTGTTGAGAGAGATGCCTGGCCAAACTGAGCAATTGTGGAAGAAAGGCCTTAGTCAGGGAGGAAACCAAGAACCTGATGGTCACTCTAAAAGAGCTCCAGTGTTTCTCTGAGGACAAAGGAGAACCTTCCAGAAGGTCAACCATATTTGCAGCTCTAAACCAATCGAGCCTGTATGGTAGAGTGACTAGTTAGAGCCACTCTTCAGCTTCCATCAATAAAGAGCATTGGATTGGGATGTGGCAGGAACTAAAAGGCATGGATTGAGGGAAAAATGAATGCAGCAGAAAATAGAAAACAATCCTTGATGAAAACCTCCTCCAGATTACTCTGCATCTCAGACTGGGGTGATGGAACATCGACCCTAAGCATACAACGAAAAACAAACAAAGGAGTGGCTACAGGACAACTTTGTAAAGTGGCCCAGCCAGAGTCAAGATCTGAACCCTATTGAACATCTCTGGAGAGATCTGAAAACGACTGAGCACCGATGCTTCCCAATCCAACCTGATACTGCAAAGCTTGTATTATCATATACTCAAATATACTAAACGCCAATAGCTAAGTGGGGTGTGCATTGACAAAGCGCAACTGTGGTTGTCCCAAATTGTAAACCCTTCCTGATCTCCCCACCCCTTGGTACCTGTATGTCCAAAACCAAAAGATTCAGTGAAAGTCTTTACATTTTGGCGCTTTTCCTTCGTGACCATCAACGAGCAACAGCCGTAAACAAAATAGCAGCGTGAAGACGCAAGCGTACCGGAGTTCAGAAGGTAAAACAACAGTTTGAACAAAGACTAACCGAGAAGATAGCAGGGGGGGGCAATCGAATTTGGGTACGGTCCAGGCATTTGAACCAAGTGTAAACGCACCCTAAAGGGGATCACAAACCAGAAGCGCCACTCGGCGACGCGTCGCGCCATTCATTTCAGAATTCTAAACACTGTTTTCTATGAGGGTACACACACCGGCGCCGCAAGTCAGCGGCGCCCAGCCACGACTCAGGACACTGTTCATATTTCTGCCGCACCACAGAGCGCCATCTAATTAGCTTCATTATAAATAGCATGGGAATTTGCGCGTCTGGTGTGCAATACTTTCAACTGTCATGTGCTCACCGTGTTGCGGCACAGAGTGGCGCATCCGGTGTGTGACGCCCTTAAGAGACTGCTTACTTTTCTATGTGTGGAAATATCTGCGAGTTTATAGCTATCTTATACAAAATGTTGCATGACGAACACTGTTCATAATACTTGATTTTCATTCACGTCTACAGATTTCAAATGTCACCAGCTTTCATTCACACATACAGATGGCTCTCCTGCTACAAGGGTTATAACACATTGACTGACTTTATAGATTATAATTAGTGCTGTCAATCGATTAAAAAAAATTAAGTAATTAATCGCACCTTTTTAAAAAAAATTATCGTGATTAATCGCATATAAAATACTGAAACTTGTAATTTTGCCTATTTAAATGTAAAATTAATGTAAACGCAAGAAAAAAAATATTTAAATTAAAAATATAATTGTTTAATGGAATTTTTGTTTAACTTGTAACACAGATTTCTTCATGTAAATAACATACCCACAATAAACCATCAAGATCCTGGCTTGACAGCCATGTTTATTACAAAAATGAAAACACAGGCATGTTAATGACATTTAAATTTCAAAACAATCAATGCCAATAAAGAAAACATTGATTTCCATGTTGGATTCTTAGTGGACTGCAAAAAAATACCAAAATACAGGAATTGCAGATATGGAAAATTATAATAATAAACTATAGAATACAAACTGTTGCACTCATTGTAAAGTTTTATTGCTGTGAGTTGAGAACATTAGTTATAGAGTAGAAACAATTTTGCTTAATCCTCCTTTACATTCATCCAGTTGCTAAGACTAGGAGTATCCCGCAAGTGCACAGAGACTCCCAAATGCCCGCAAATGAATGATAATCTCTCGCAAACCGGTTGTTAAATACATTGCACACCCCTCTCGCCCCTACTCAGATACGTCGCTCACTCCACCCCTGACACAGACACACACACAGACAGACACACACAACGCGCTGCAGACGTTTTGGCCCCAACGGCCTTCCATACTGGAGCGACTCCCCTCAGATTCAACACGAATGATCACGTTCATCAAATTTGCTAAGCGTCCTAAACTAAGCGTCCTAAAGTATTACTGTATTTCACAAGGATTCTGACACAACAACGCGAAGCATGCGCCTTCGTTGCGTTTAATGAGGAAACACGCTAAACTTGGAGGGATCATGCTGAAAGGCAGAGTAATGCCCTGTCTTTGACAGCTCGCGACTTCACCAGACGTTCTGACTACATTTACATAAGACACCAATACTTCAATTTTAATATGATTAAGATAATACTCTTATTAAAATTCTACCGTGTAGCCTTAAAAGGAACCTTACCTTAAAGGAACACCGAGTCACGAAATTTGGAGGATTTTCTTTCTGTTCGCCATGCGGTATCAACTTACAACAAATGTCGAAAGTTAAAAATGAAACACCCGAAATTGCATGAAACTCTGGATAACCTGTGATGCAACTAATTGTTTTATACTGGAACTTGCCTTTAAAAAGTGCTTCCTTGGTCTTATCCACATTTATTGCATGTTGAACACACGTCCACCTCAACAGGAAGTAAAAAAAACCTGAACTGCGTTAATTGCGTAAATTTTTTTTAACGCGTTAATTTATTACAGGAAGTAAAAAAAACCTGAACTGCGTTAATTGCGTAAATTTTTTTTAACGCGTTAATTTATTTAAAATTAATCGCATGCGTTAATTTTGACAGCGCTAGTTATAATATACACATTGAATATATGTGGAAAACTAAAGCATATTATTCAAACTTTATTGGTGTTAGTAGATGACAGCTGTGGGTCTGAGATGCCACTATTAACACCAAGACATAGTAAATGAGTGTTTAATGTAGGTAATAAAGCTTTACTGGTATCAGACACTGTGCTTGTTTATTGTTATGCTCATAACTAGAGTCTCTAATCATCCCCAGATTTTGCAGCATGCTTTCTGACTATTGTTGTACAGTTTAGAATATGTATGTATAAATATTAGTATGTTTAGAAATGTGTTGAAACAAATCTGCTCTCTGTTAAACAGAAATTGGGGGGAAAAAGTAACAGGGGGGTGAATAATTCAGGGGGGCTAATAATTCTGACTTCAACTGTATAGGATTGCATTTTATTTAATGTAAATGAGTTCAAAGCGATTTTAAAATTAAAAATAAAAGTTAAAGAGAGACTTAAATTTTCTTTTGGACAGTTGCATACATTGAAATGTTGCTGCAAAATTCATTATTCAATTATTTAAAAATATTAAATTATTAAAAATAAAAGGATTAGAACAGGCATTATGTAGGCTAAAGATAGACATAAAAAGTAAAAGAAAATTACCGTGAGTGAGATGTAAAACATGTAGCTAGCTTACACATAGTTGGTTGAGTCAAACTAACAGTAACACGTTGCTGTTGTTTTGTTTCTGCATGTGAACTTTAGTACACAAATTAGTTTACGTATTGGCATACACTCATATCAACCTTAATCTAATTTAAAAAATGTTTAAGTTTACTAAACTGTTTTAAACACGTATTTTAACATTTTTATTTTTTTTTATTTTGTTGATTTCAATAACAAACATACAAAATTCAATTTTACACAAAAACACAATTATAACAGATCAGGATAAATAATAAAAATATGTAAAAAAAAATTATAAAAAGAGAAACAAAAAAGAGAAAAGAAAGAAAAAAATAAACATATAAACAAAGTTTAAACATATACATAAATAACACAAATACAACAAGAGGAAAGTAGGAACTATGTATCCGTGATATTTCCAAAATATTTATCATAAAAAACGAATAATCTATCACTTTTCTTGTTATTAACTAATCTAAGAGATTTAATAAAATCATAAATTTCTATTAAAAATTGTGACGTATTTTAACATACCTCTTTACCGTGTCGCGTTGGGTTTGGTGTGATTAAAAGTTCTGGAAGCTTACAATAATACTGTACTGCCTCCGCCTACTGGACGCATCAGGAACAACAGTGGTGCAAACCTGCTCGGGTCGTAGATCTGCCTGAATCCAAGTCTGCAGTCTCCCCCACCTCTGTAATAGTAAGTGGCAAAAAGACTTTTATTTTGGCGTGGAGGGTGTAACGTCATAAGGCTGCGCCACTCCTGCGCTGTGAACCGGAGAGAGGTTTGTGTTTTGAAACTACTGCGTAGATGTAAACCGATTGATTCAAGTTTCAGGTTAATGTAATGTTAATCTTTTAGTTTCGTTGAAATGTCCGACGCTAAAACCTGCTGTTGAAAATATTATTTTAACCTTTTATACAACGTGGTGCTCGTTAATCGAGGGCTATTGTTCGATAAAGTAACAGAAATGTGTGTTATATGTGTCCTAATGTAGGTTTAATTTATTAAATAGCGTAATGTCATTACATTCGAAGTATTCATCACTATGTATATGAAATGGAGTACTAGTTTTATTCAGGTTATATTGAGGTAATGTTGGTTTTATATTCACACATTCATTCCTTTTAGAACAGTGAGAACTTGTGATGCACGTTTTGAATGTTTGGTCTTATATAGCATGTAAACATGACTGCAAAACAACAATAGATCTATTTAATAGACTGTGAACAATGTTGTACTTTTAAAAGTCATTTGCTGATAATCTGATTCCACCATTTAGAATATGCAAAGAAAACTTTTCTGAAATTATATTAGGAAGTGTAAATGTGCTAATATAAAACTTAATTGGAGGCAATTGTTGCTCATATTTACTCTTTTACCTGATTTTTATTTTTTTGTTAATTTCATTAATGTTGAAGAGAAGTTGTTTTGTTTCTGTTCATTGTTTTATTTATTGTAATCATATTTTTTTTATTGTTTTGTTCATTTTAAACAGGATAAAGTGTCCAAACACAGAGAAAACTCCTGCTGAAGCGACTGATCTCCACACTGTTATAAAGATGGCGTTTATTAAAGTGGAGAGTGAAGACCTGAGGATTGAGGACACATTCACTGTTGAACATGAAGATCCGCAGGAACAAACAGGTTGGTTTACATTCTCAAAGACCCACTCAGTCATCTGATCCTCATTCAGATATATTTTAATAATAAGAATACAAAATTATATCCATCTTGCAGCCCTGAGTGTGCTGCCTAGTTCTCCTAAACGCACATAAGCACTCATTGAAAGACAGGAATCAGTTTCTTTCGTCACTTGTTCTCATGTCTTTTGTCATTATTTTATGTATTATTAGTCTCCCATTTTCTCTACCTCCTTAAGGTTATTTCTTTTCTAGTTCTCCTTCTGTTTGTAAAGTGTCCTTGAGCACTGGCCGTAAACAAAATAAATAAAAGCAATAAATAAAACAAGTTTAATTGAGCTGACAACAGTATTCTCATTGAAGATATCTGCTGTTATGACGATGATGTTGACTTATTACTTGCCGTTTGCATGTTATGTTGGTCACAGCTCCCTTTTTTCGTCAACTTCTTCATGGGTTAAAACTTGGCCAGTATTGGGCATGTTATTTAAAATAAAAAAAATTGTAGCTGTTACTAGTTCTCACAAATAGTATCTGACATAGAATTAAATAAATATAATAATAACTAATTACCACCATGCTGAAAAAACAGCTTAAACCAGCCTAGGCTGGTTGGCTGGTTTTAGCTGGTTGACCAGGCTGGTTTTAGAGGCGTTTTGGCCATTTCCAGGCTGGTTTCCAGCCATTTCCAGCCTGGTCTTAGCTGGTTAGGCTGGGAGATGACCAGCTAAAACCAGCTTGACCAGCCTAGCCAGGCTGGGAGCCCAGCCAAAACCAGCTATGTCCAGCTTAAACCAGGCTGGTAAAGCTGGATTTAGCTGGTCATTTTCCAGCCTGACCAGCTAAGACCAAGCTGGAAATGGCTGGAAACCAGCCTGGAAATGGCCAAAACCCCTCTAAAACCAGCCTGGTCGACCAGCTAAAACCAGCCCAGGCTGGTTTACGCTGGATTTTTCAGCAGGGCAACAGTTGTGTTAACAGTATGTCGAAAAACGTGGGTGCCCCCAATTTTAAACATGCTGAATGAAATGAATTAATTGTATAAAACAAAAATAAAATATGTATTGTAATGTGTGACATTTATACGTTTTTTTTTTTACACACGTTCCCTCTTTTATACACGTTGATCAGTTTTAATAGATGTAAAAGTGTGTCTGCCTTTATTATTGATTGAGTGGTGAAGGTTGATATGACATTTAGACTGTCAGCAAAACTAAAAATAGTTTTTAGAACGAGTAATAATCTCATTCATCTAAATACAGTACATGTGGAAGATCAGTGAATTAAAGCTAATTATATAAAAAACGGACAAGCCATTCTCATATATGTGACTTTGTCCTTTGTCTGACTGAAATGTAGGCAGTAGCTATGTTTCCATACAAAAGTATTAATTAAATTAATGTACAAAACTGGAATAGCGCATAAAAGATGTCAATGAATCAAAGTTTTTATGCGCATATCCAAAATGAGCATTAAAGTAGGGGGGTGAGATCATAAGGCTAAGGGGAGAAATACCGCTTCGTATTTAAAGGTTCAGGACACCCTGGAGAACTTTTTTTTATTTTTTATATTAACAGATTTGTGAGTGTTGAGCATCAGTTAAGACCATAGCCCCTTTCACACAGTGATACCGGTAAATATCCGGAAAATTTCCGGAACGACTTTACCGGTATATTGAAAAAAGCGCTGTTCACACAGGGGAGGACGTTACGGAAATTTTTCCGGAAAAGAGCGTTCACACATCCATTCCAAAATACCGGTAAATTCTGACATCATTCACCACAAATGAGCTTTAAACGGCTGCGCTTGTATTTGTAAACATTTGACTGAATTACAAACTCTGTGCATGATCAATATTGTGAACAACTTTCGCAGGATCACTTTCGCATGTCGAGATGTTCATAATATGTGCGTGTGCAGACGCTCACAGGCTGTTTCATGGGCACACGCAAAGCTTGAAGGTAAACAAACAACGGCTTATCATAAGCATCTCATCGATAAATATTTACACAGTTGACATTAAGAAGAACATATAAACGTGATCTGACTAATTTCTAGCAGCTAAATGTGTCTGGAAAAATATTCAAAGGCTTTTATTCTCACAAACCGCGTGGACGTGAATGCGTCTGACTGTTGTGATTGGCTAAAGCAGACGTCTCACGTCAGCATGTTCTAGACGTGCACGCGCTTATTAAGGGAATCTTCCTTCTGCATTCACACAGCGCAGCATTCCGGCAAATTGCCGGTAATGTTACAACTTCTCTTTCCGGAAAATAGCCAGAACGAATTTACCGGTATTTTCAAAAAGGACCTGTTCACACATACAACCACAACATACAAAGGTCTGTATGTGTGAAAGGGGCTAATGTTAGCACCTGTCAGCTTTAATTGTGGGGAAAACTGGATAATTTTGAGCTTTTGTCAGCTGAATTCAGCTGGCATTAAATTACTGTTTATTTCTTTGCATTTTAACTTTGTGAATTATAAACTCAAGCGTCTCCTCACGGTTTGTGTCTCAGTTTGTGAGCTAACTGTCAACAACAGTTATTCGCTCCCCTTCTCCCCTGCTGGCCACGCCCACTCCTGCCCGATGCTCGCGGAGCTCCACGCCCATTAATCATGCATCTTTTGAAAAAATTCTGAAGTAGACTTTAACCGAAAGTGGGGGGTGTCATGGCCCTTTAAAAAGGGGAGGAGACCAACAGTATCTCAAAGTTTAAAGAATAATACCTGCTCCTGACCAGCTTGGGTTCACAGAGTAAGTGACCACGGTAACTGACTCTGAGTTAAAGTGACCTCTCTTTCAGGCTTGAATTACCCTGCTTTCTACAATTTGACCAACCTGCCATTTTGAAAAGGAAAACCCTGAGTTCCTCTCATTTCGGGGTTAAAATACTCTTATTTAACTTCCTTTCTGAAACGGGCCCCAGGTCACTATGACATGATTGACAAGTTATGTATGTCGCTGTTAGGACCGTGCAATTAATCGAAAATCTGATTTCGATATCGATTTTTGGCTCCTAGCGATTATGAAAAACCATTAATCAAGATGAACGATTACTCCATTATTTACGCCCCCTTTCCAGTTGTACACGTGTTGCTCTCAAAAGCGCGAAAGACCGCGTGTCAGCATTTAGTCTCATTCGCACACTGTAACGAGCAGAACACAGACATCTAAAGTCATCTTAATGCGAGCGCTTTAATGGTCAAATAGGTGTCAAAACGCGGTGTTTAGTGATTATTCGTATTTACCATCATTTGTGTAATAAACATACGAGTTGTGAAAGAGAAACCTTTAAAGTGACAGCGCGGTATTTCTGCTGCCGCATGTTTTTATCATTATTAATCAAACAACAAAGAGAAAATCCCTCGCTGCCCTTGACTGAAGGACAGCTAAAGTGTTTGTCTTACAGTGAGGATGCTTCAAGCACAGTTTATTTTATATATTTTTTTTCTATTGTATTTATTTCCCTTTCCTTCTTTACAGGGAGGAAAATAACCGTATGTATACAGTTGAAGTCAGAATTATTAGCCCTCCTAAATATTAGCAACCCTTTTCCCCCTCATTTCTGTTTAATGGAAAGAAGTTTCAATACATTTCTAAACAAAATAGTTTTAATCACTCATTAATGATAACTGATTTCTTTTATCTGTTATGATGACGGCACATAATATTTGACTAGATATTTTTTTTAAAATACAAGTATTACGCCCCAAGTCTAGGGGAAACAAAAAGGGCATAATTAACGAAGAAAAAAACAAATGTGTTGGGGTGTTGGATTTCCCAAACTAAACAAAACGTAAAGCAAAAGATTCCCTTCGGTCGACAACCAAACTCACACACTCAGTTGAGAGTATCAAGATATTTATTATAAAAGAAATGGGATTAATATATATGAGCATTTCGTCAGGGTGACCACAGGCCAAAATAACAAACAAAAGAATCTATAAAATAAATCCACTAAATTACCTATTACTTTTTAAAGGAAAATACAAAAAAGCTTACCTGACTCCCTAAACATAAACAAAGTCAAAAGTAATCAAATAAATAGGCAGGTCACCCCTACATGCTCAAACTCTCGAAAATATTTAAACATATGATGGTCATCAATACAAAGTTGGTTGTTGTTGGTCGTCAGCCGAAGGGGTGAGGGGAAACCCAGGAGCTCCACTCCAAACACCGAACGCACAGAAATGAGCTCCTCGAACCCTGCCGGAAGCTCCCTTATATACAGGCTTTTGAGACCAGCAGCCAATCAGATCAGGGAATCACGTCGGTATGGGAGCCTATGAAACAACAGAAAAACAACAAGAAGGCGGGACAAAAGAAAAAGACAGGACAATCCGCAATAATAAATAATCTCCAGTCGTAACAGCAAGCATTCCAATTCAAAGCGTGATTCAAAGGCTTAATTAGAGAATTAGACAAGTCATTGTATAACAGTAGTCTCTTCTACAGACAATCATAAAATATATACTCTAAAGGGGCTAATAATATTGACCTTAAAATGGGTTTCAAAACATGTAAACCTGCTTTTTATTCTGACAAATAAGACTTTATCCAGGCGAAAATTTTTTAGCTAGCTCTGTTAAACATAATTTGGGAAATATTTATTCTTAAAAAAATCGCAGAAGCACTTGTAATTTTGACTTCAACTGATAATCGTTTTGAACAATCGTGATTACAAGAGTCAAGAGTTTTATTTGTCACATACATAATAATACAAAGTATGACCAGCAGTGAAATGTAGGTCAGGTCCGCTCCAGAGAATATAGATAAACAAAAATTAAATAATAATAAAAAAAATATGTGTAAAAAAATTATACAAAGTAATAAGAAAGTGTGTAAAAAAAAATAAATAAAATAAAAGTGAATAAAAAAGGAGGATAAAGCAAAACCTCAGCGGAGCAACCCGAACGGCGTCCGAACACAGCAGCGCCATTTTGAAGGAAACTTTTTGTGACCAAACTAATCGGGATTATGATTTTTCCCAAAATCGAGCA